TCTAAAGGGTTTCCGTACATCATACCAATCTACAGCTCATCGTTTAGTAGATCTATCTAAAGGGTTTCCGTACATCATACCAATCTACAGCTCATTGTTAAGTGGATCTATCTAAAGGGTTTCCGTACATCATACCAATCTACGACTCATTGTTTAATAGATCTATCTAAAGGGTTTCCGTACATCATACCAATCTACAGCTCATCGTTAAGTGGATCTATCTAAAGAGTTTCCGTACTTCATACCAATCTACGACTCATTGTTTAATAGATCTATCTAAAGGGTTTCCGTACATCATACCAATCTACAGCTCATCGTTTAGTGGATCTGTCTAAAGGGTTTCCGTACATCATACCAATCTACGGCTCATTGCTTAGTGGATCTCGCTATGCTAGTGGATGTCCGTGCCATGTACATGATTCACAGTAGTTTCGCCCTTCGTTTAACCAAAGGAACTCCCTCCTTTTTTAGAGCTCTATGATTTGTTAGCGAGATAACTTTAACTATGGCAAGATGACCTTTTTAAACTAAGATATGTCACAGAAATTCATAATCCGAGGTACATGTCCTTTCGCTAAAATAAATGCCACACACACAAACATGAACTTTAAGGAAATGAGAAAGATCCTGCTTCACTTCGGTATACCACAAGGTGTCCTTCCTTACAAACGAGAGAAATAAAGTTTATTTAAACGGCCAAAATTCAGAAATACACTAGATATGTCACAAATCCGCGGATTGAAACAGATAGTGTTCACGAGGAGTTACAACATCCATGCATGCAAACAGATATCAATATCATAGAAAACAAGTAATTTTTCACATTATACAACGCCGGTATGACAAAGTGCTGTGATAAATAACGGTGATTACACCAAAGCTGTACCATACACAAGTAGTTGACCGGTAGTACATTGGTCATACGTCATCTCACGGCGGTGTTCCGTTACACTAACATCATCACGGAAGCCTTAAGTCATTTGCTCGTTGGAAACAGGAGACCCTTAAAGTCAGATCTGATGACTCGACCAGCCTCGTTTTGTATGATGACATTTCTATATTGGTCTCGTGTCAATCCGTGGGAGGGTGATATATGGTTCAGACAAGTCCGTATATATATTGACGTAAAAAAGTAAACGTTTGTTATTGTAAATTTCGCAAATTTTATTGAAGATATTTCATAAGTGGTAAATTTAACAGTTTTCACTGGATCCTTTTTGGCTGATATATGAGAAATATCTGATGTTGTGACACAAGCAGCGGTGTCAGGAATGTCGCCACAATAGAGTCACTCATCCCTTAGTCCCGGTTCTATTTCCCGTACCCTCCTCACCATATAACCCATCAAACTGTTATTTTTTTTCGAATTGGATATTCTTCCGTTCTCAAGATGTACCTGCGTCACATTGACGACTTTGGTTGGGGGGTTGGCGCGTTCTCCAAGTTCATCCCCAAATGTTCAATGGGGAAGGAGCAAAGAACTGTTGGTGGCAAATCAAGTACTGAGGCGTTGTTTTGGTCTAAAAAAGCACGACACATCCTTGCAACGTGTGGCCTGGCATTTTTCTAGTTGAAAGTAAGATTCCACTGAAGTATAAGGGGACTGATGTGGGGCTGGAGGACCTGATCTCGAAATCTAACGGCTATGATTGTCCTGGATAATAACTTAAGGGGGTTTAACGCCATTAGAACTGCCCCAAACTATAATAGACCCTCCCGCAAATCTGTCGTTTCCCTAAACGCTTTCATTTGCATATCGTTCACCGCGACGACGTCGGTAGACACATTAGTGGCAATCGGACGTGAAACGTGGCTCGTCATTAAACCGGATACGTCTTCAATCAGCCCAGCGATATACAGTTGGGGCATGTGTACGGCACCATTACAGACGACATTGACATGGCCTTTGATTAAGTTGGGGTGCGACGGAAGGACGACATGGCTTGAAGTTGAAATCGTGCAACCGCTGTTCTCGGTTACGGTCGGTGTCGATGTTTACCAATTAATGCTGTATGCTGTTACCGTTACAGTTTTAAAACGCTTCCGGAGGTAAGACAGACGTTAGCTCTGTCTTGACGTCACGACGTTACGTGTGGACGTCAACTTATAGGACGGTCTGTTAATAGTCCAGTGTGTCCAAGCCGACCAACTAAACGGGCAATAGTTGATGCATGAACACCAAACTGCTGGGCGACGCAACGTTGTGATTGACGTTGTAAAATTAGGTCAAAAGTCCTGGAAGTTTTCCTTCTGTTTCCGTCTTACTTCTGTAACGTAAACAACCTAAACAACAGGTAACTATGTAACATATGCCATTACTTTTAATGCCTCAGCTGGATTCTTGAGTAGCGAATCACAATAAAGTATGTTTTAGCAGCCATTGTCTGTATCCTAGATAGAAATGTGACCAGGTGCTGGGAGGTATCAGAGCCAGTGCTTCACATGGGTTTATAAATAACACCAATTAATCTTCACCACTTAATACGATCACAGACCACCTATTGCGATAATTCATATATTGAAAACTGCATGGTCAGCGGAACAGCGTTGTTTGTTAGATTAAAAATAAGTAAAGAGGAATACACACAGGAACTGAAAGAGAGAACAATAGAAACACGGGGAAAACGACACAGTGAAGATCACGGAGGATTACAAGAGAACGGTTGGGAATAATCAAATACTGTATTGTCTTTTAAAAAAACACAGTGTGCCGTCTTGAATGTTAAAACACTGTATTGTCATGAACTGCAAAAAAAACATACTGTCTTAAACTATTTTATTTTAAATCATGAACAATATTGTCTTGAACAACCAAAGTAAGGTGCTCTCTTTGGCATACATTTTCCTTTTCTATTGTCATTACTAATGAAACACTTAATTGTTTTTAACTCCAAAACAATGTATCTTCTCGAAGTACAAAATAATGTACTATTTTAAACAATCAAACAATATACCGTCTTGAACAATTGTCTTTTTGCATAGTCTTTACAAATAAACATTATATTGTCTTGAACAACAGAATAATTAACTGTCTTGAATGACAATATGGTACTCTTTTGAATAATGAACACTGAATTGTCTTGAACAACAAACCCCTTTAATACACTAATTGAGTGAATTTATATGATGTGTATGGTATTATCTCACTAATAACTTCTTCATATTCTCTATCTTAATTTATTCGCGGACGACATGTTCTGATAAATTCTTTCCTCTTTCGAGGGCGTGTCTGACATAGTCTAGAAGATTTATAATGGAACCTTGTTTTTATTTATGTCTTATTATAAAACAACATGGATTTAAATACCAGATATATGAAGTGTTTTTATCGTTGTATCTTTCGTCTGACACTTATCGTGATTCAGCAGGAAGGGATAAGGATTTATATAAACGTCGACCGCAACAGAGAACGTGTAGGATAGGACGTGATGGAAGTGACGGCGGTATCTCCACCCAGCTCACGGTTTATACCAGCCAGCCTAGCAGGTATCTATTACTCCAGCGGGCTGTCCACCAATAACCGGCACTTTTATATTGGACAGAAATCCCTGTGCCAACAAAACGGTCGTCAGATTGGAATAGCGGGTGTGGTGCCTTTTTCTATGAATGACAATTACAGCAGTGTGGCAGTGTCACGACACAAGTAGCGTAAGATTGGGTTGAAGGATCGAGGTGAAACGTACTGGAAATTAGGGTGGAGAAAATACTGCAAGCAGACGATACAGACACTGGGACTACGACCAGACTTAGTCGAACTGTGATTACAGGGCATTCTGTGGAATACATACTGTGACATCAGGTAAGTTGTGACATTGGGTGAGTTGATATATTCATTTTCATCAGTGATTCTCTGTATTCCGTAATTTGATAGGACGCGTACGCTTTAAAAGCAAATCATATTACAGATTGTAAAATGTTAAAATTGTGTTTGACTGCAGTTTCTACTAAATGGAATATTGACATATATATATATCTCCATGGATATAATAAAACATCTAGAAGTTTAATAATTAAACAGGAACAACATTAAGTTGATGTATTACTTTTCTGTTTATAAAAAGGGCAACAATCAAATTCATACCAACACCTGGAAATACCGTTTAAAACCTGCAATGAAAAATCGCGTGTTTTTCACTTATTGTCTTCAGAAATGAATGAAAAAAATAATAACTTAGTTGTTGTTTAGATACCAATAATCAATGCTCGCCTACCTGCTAGTGCCCGTTATAGACAAAGACTGTTGAAAGTACGTGTCCAATATTTGCATTAGATCTTAACATGATACATGTACATATTTTGTAAATGTATTTTATTCATGTTTCCCTTGTATACGAATGTATAACATTTAACTGTCTCAGTGTGTAATGTTTCATTATGTCTCATTTTGTAACATGTCACTTTGTCTCATTGTGTACTATGTCACTTTGTCTCATTGTGTACTATTTCACTTTGTCTCATTGTGAAACATTTCATTATGTATCATTGTGTAATATGTAATTGAGTTTCGATGTGTAGCATTTCACTATGTCTCAGTGTGTAAGGTTCCCACTATGTCTCAGAGTGTAACGTTCGCCTATGTCTCAGTGTGTAACGTTCCAGTGTGTAACGTTCCACTATGTCTCAGTGTGTAACTTTCCACTATGTCTCAGTGTGTAACGTTCCAGTGTGTAACGTTCCACTATGTCTCAGTGTGTAGCATTTCACTATGTCTCAGTGTGTAAGGTTCCCACTATGTCTCAGTGTGTAACGTTCCACTATGTCTCAGTGTGTAGCATTTCACTATGTCTCAGTGTGTAAGGTTCCCACTATGTCTCAATGTGTAACGTTCCACTATGTGTCAGTGTGTAGCATTTCACTATGTCTCAGTGTGTAAGGTTCCCACTATGTCTCAGTGTGTAACGTTCCACTATGTCTCAGTGTGTAGCATTTCACTATGTCTCAGTGTGTAAGGTTCCCACTATGTCTCAGTGTGTAACGTTCCACTATGTCTCAGTGTGTAGCATTTCACTATGTCTCAGTGTGTAAGGTTCCCACTATGTCTCAGTGTGTAACGTTCCACTATGTCTCAGTGTGTAACGTTCCACTATGTCTCAGTGTGTAACGTTCCACTACGTCTCAGGGTGTAAGGTTCCACTTTGTCTCAGTCTGTAACGTTCCACTTTGTCTCAGTCTGTAAAGTTCCACTTTGTCTCAGTGTGTAACGATCCAGTGTGTAACGTTCCACTATGTCTCAGTGTGTAGCATTTCACTATCTCTCAGTGTGTTAAGTTCCACTATGTCTCAGTGTGTTAAGTTCCACTATGTCTCAGTGTGTAACGTTCCACTATGTCTCAGCGTGTAACGTTCCACTATCTTTCAGTGTGCAACGTTCCACTATGTCTCAGTGTGTAGCATTTCACTATGTCTCAGTGTGTAACGTTCCCACTATGTCTCAGTCTGTAACGTTCCACTTTGTCTCAGTCTGTAACGTTCCACTTTGTCTCAGTGTGTGAGTTTCCCACTATGTCTCAGTGTGTAACGTTCCACTATGTCTCAGCGTGTAACGTTCCACTATCTTTCAGTGTGCAACGTTCCACTATGTCTCAGTGTGTAGCATTTCACTATCTCTCAGTGTGTTAAGTTCCACTATGTCTCAGTGTGTTAAGTTCCACTATGTCTCAGTGTGTTAAGTTCCACTATGTCTCAGTGTGTTAAGTTCCACTATGTCTCAGTGTGTAACGTTCCAGTGTGTAGCATTTCACTATGTCTCAGTGTGTAAGGTTCCCACTGTCTCAGTGTGTAACGTTCCACTATGTCTCAGTATGTAACGTTCCACTATCTTTCAGTGTGTTAGGTTCCACTATGTCTTAGTGTGTAACGTTCCACTTTGTCTCAGTGTGTAACGTTTCACTTTGTCTCAGTCTGTAACGTTCCACCATGTCTCAGTGTGTAACGTTCCACTTTGTCTCAGTGTGTAACGTTCCACCATGTCTCAGTCTGTAAGTTCCACTATGTCTCAGCGTGTAACGTTCCATTATGTCTAGGTGTGTAATTTTTCACTATCTCTCAGTGTGTTAAGTTCACCTATGTCTCAGTGTGTTTAGTTCCACTATGTCTCAGTGTGTAACGTTCCACTATGTCTCAGCGTGTAACGTTCCACTATCTTTCAGTGTGTTAAGTTCCACTATGTCTCAGTGTGTAACGTTCCACTATGTCTCAGTGTGTAGCATTTCACTATGTCTCAGTGTGTAACGTTCCACTATGTCTCAGTATGTAACGTTCCACTTTGTGTCAGTCTGTAACGTTCCACTTTGTCTCAGTGTGTAAGGTTCCCTCTATGTCTCAGTGTGTAACGTTCCACTATGTCTCAGCCTGTAATGTTCCACTATGTCTCAGTGTGTAATTTTTCACTACCTCTCAGTGTGTAAGGTTCCCATTATGTTTCAGTGTGTAAGGTTCCACTTTGTCTCAGTATGTAACGTTCAACTTTGTCTCAGTCTGTGACGTTCCACTTTGTCTCAGTGTGTAACGTTCCACTTTGTCTCAGTATGTAACGTTCAACTTTGTCTCAGTCTGTAAAGTTCCACTTTGTCTCAGTATGTAACGTTCCACTATCTTTCAGTGTGTTAAGTTCCACTATGTCTCAGCCTGTAATGTTCCACTATGTCTCAGCGTATAACGTTCCACTATGTCTAGGTGTGTAATTTTTCACTATCGTCTCAGTGTGTAATGTTTCATTATGTCTCAGTGTGTAAAGTTCCACTATGTCTCAGTATGTAACGTTCCACTACGTCTCAGTGTGTAAGATTCCACTTTGGCTCAGTCTGTAACGTTCCACCATGTCTCAGTCTGTAACGTTCCACGTTTTCTCAGTGTGTGAGTTTCCCACTATGTCTCAGTGTTTAACGTTTCACTTTGTCTCAGTGTGTGAGTTTCACACTATGTCTCAGTGTGTAGCATTTCCCTATGTCTCAGTGTGTAGCATTTCCCTATGTCTCAGTGTGAAACGTCCCACTATGTCTCAGTGTGTAGCATTTCACTAGTGGGTAACGTTTCACTATGTCTCAGTGTGTACCGTTCCAGTCTGTAGCATTTCACTATGTCTCAGTGTGTTAGGTTCCACAATCTCTCAGTGTGTAACGTTTCCCTTTGTCTCAGTCTGTAACGTTCCACTACGTCTCAGTGTGTAATTTTCACTATCTTTCAGTGTGTTAAGTTCCATTATGTCTCAGAGTGTAATGTTTCATAATGTCTCAGTGTGTAATGTTTCATTATGTCTCAGTGTGTAAAGTTCCACTATGTCTCAGTATGTAACGTTCCACTAGGTCTCAGTGTGAAACGTTCCACTACGTCTCAGTGTGTAATTTTTCACTACCTCTCAGTGTGTAAGGTTCGCATTATGTTTCAGTGTGTAAGGTTCCCCCTATGTCTCAGTGTGAAACGTCCCACTATGTCTCAGTGGGTTAGGTTCCACTATGTCTCAGCCTGTAATGTTCCACTATGTCTCAGTGTATAACGTTCCACTATGTCTCAGTCTGTAACGTTCCAATTTGTCTCAGTGTGTGAGCTTCCCACTATGTCTCAGTGGGTAAGGTTCCCACTATGTCTCAGTGTGTATGGTTCCCACTATGTCTCAGTGTGTTAGGTTCCACTATGTCTCAGTGTGTAACGTTTCACTTTGTCTCAGTCTGTAACGTTCCACCATGTCCCAGTGTGTAACGTTCCACTATTTCTCAGTGTGTAACGTTTCACTTTGTCTCAGTGTGTAACGTTCCACCATGTCTCAGTCTGTAACGTTCCACTATGTCTCAGCGTGTAACGTTCCACTATCTTTCAGTGTGTTAAGTTCCACTATGTCTCAGTGTGTAACGTTCCACTACGTCTCAGTGCGTAAGGTTCCCACTATGTCTCAGTGTGTAACGTTCCACTTTGTCTCAGTGTGTAACGTTCCACTATTTCTCAGCGTGTAACGTTCCACTATGTCTCAGTGTGTAATTTTCACTATCTTTCAGTGTGTTAAGTTCCATTATTTCTCAGAGTGTAATGTTTCATAATGTCTCAGTGTGTAACGTTCCACTTTGTCTCAGTGTGTAACGTTCCACTATGTCTCAGCCTGTAACGTTCCACTATGTCTCAGTGTGTAATTTTTCACTATCTCCTAGTGTGTAAGGTTCCCATTATGTTTCAGTGTGTAAGGTTCCACTATGTCTCAGTATGTAACTACCTCTCAGTGTGTAAGGTTCCCATTATGTTTCAGTGTGTAAGGTTCCACTATGTCTCAGTATGTAACTACCTCTCAGTGTGTAAGGTTCCCATTATGTTTCAGTGTGTAAGGTTCCACTATGTCTCAGTATGTAACGTTCCACTTTGTCTCAGTCTGTGACGTTCCACTTTGTCTCAGTGTGTAAGGTTCCACTATGTCTCAGTATGTAACTACCTCTCAGTGTGTAAGGTTCCCTTTATGTTTCAGTGTGTAAGGTTCCGCTATGTCTCAGTATGTAACTACCTCTCAGTGTGTAAGGTTCCCTTTATGTTTCAGTGTGTAAGGTTCCACTTTGTCTCAGTGGGTAACGTTCCACTACGTCTCAGTGTGTAATTTTCACTATCTTTCAATGTGTTAAGTTCCATTATGTCTCAGAGTGTAATGTTTCATAATGTCTCAGTCTGTAACGTTCCACTATGTATCAGCGTGTAACGTTCCACTATGTCTCAGTGTGTAATTTTTCACTATCTCCTAGTGTGTAAGGTTCCCATTATGTCTCAGTGTGTAATGTTTCATTATGTCTCAGTGTGTAATCTCAGTCTGTAACGTTCCACTTT